CATATTTTGGTGGCAGCAAGTGAACGGCTTCGAATTGTAGTAACGAGCGGTGGGGACGCGGCTTCGCACCAATTAAAACACAAGTTTTAAGATATTAACGTCAAAAAACTAAAAATATTATACACATAATATCAGAACCATACATCTATTACATGCTCCTCTATCCCCAAGCAGTTAAGTCTGAAGATTTGTTTAATTAAGAATATATTTCCTAGCCTAAAGAGGGCTGAGAGGAATCCAACTGAGCCCATGGGCAAGAGAAACTCAACAGCCTAGGAGCAGCCATTGAGAAGGCTCTCTGCTGAGCCTTCTCCAAATGAATTTGGGAGAATAGTGGGATGGAGGGAAGACCTACCTGATCTCTTAGCATTTCTAAAGTTTCCATTTGTTTTTTCCTCAAAGCTTGATCACGGGCAAAGGCAAAGTAACCCACACCAAGCTGTCTGGCCTCTGAAAGGAAAAAAGAATCACCATGTATTACACAACTTCAGAACGCTGGTAAGAGGGACCTGCCTTAGACATTGTCATACCATTCTTACATTTAGCTCAACATTGTCTACTTTGGGGGGGGGGGGGAGAGGTTGACACAACTGTACAGCAGTTGAGAGGCAATTTTCTTTGGGTCCCCAAGGGCCACACAAACACACACCCAACATGTAATGTCATTGGTCCAAGATACAGCTGAAGGAAATATGAGAGAGAGAGGTCTCAGAACTCTGGGAGTAGTTTTGGTGTTATTGTGCGCCCAGGGTTGTTCTGACAAGGTTTCCAGGTTTTAAAAAATCTCATCCTAATCAAAAAAATATAAAAACACAAATGTGTGGAATTCAGGGAGTTTTGTGGGGATCGAAGGAGTCTCTCTGTTTTAAATAGGGATCATTCTCAGCCCTCTTGGACAAATCAGGGACTGAATTTGAGTCTTTCTGGATACAAAACCTCTGAAACTAGGATGTAACTCTTCACCACAAAATTATATTAGTGAGGCGGACAGCTCTCTCATGTTGTTTTTCCAAATTATTACTTAGGTGCATTCTGATCTTAGTAAAACTAGGAAGGTCAGTTTTCAATAAACCAGAATATAAAATAGCCTATCATATTTGTAACTCTATAAAGGAACACATACATCACAACCTTTTCAGCCACTTCTACTGGATGCCTAGAAGTGGGACATGAGAGTTTCTGCTCTTTGATTCACTATAGAATCAAAAAGCAGAAAGCACCCAAGTAACACTTTTTATACTGTACACAGGGCAGAAGAGTAAAAGGCTTCTTAAATCTAATTTCCTATTCATTGAAAGTTTTATTACTGCAGGCTGGGAATTCTACCTGGCCCTGATCACTCTGCTAGAAAAGCAGAATTAAGGGTCAGAATATAACCTTTAGTAATGAGTTAAACAGAAAACAGTTTAGCACTGGGTGTAATACTGCACTGTGTTTCAAAGGCAACTTGACATCATGACTACATACCATTTTCTCGAATGTCTTCATAATGCATTGGTCCCATAGGCCTCCTTAAGGCTTCCTCTTCCTCTCTTTCCCACTCCTGACGCTGAAGTTCCCTTCTCATGTCTTCAGACAATAGAGTCTTCTCTCCAGTCATTTCCCTAACAGAAACAGAATCACTTTAAGAGCTGGAAAGTGGCAAATGGAAGTAGTCTTGTAAGCACTCCACCTTGAAATGAATATCCCATCTAAAAGTACAATGATCAGTATGAAAATAGCTCCTAGAAAGCCAATATGAAAGAAAAGCAGTGTAACACTCATGTTGAATCACAAAGGAAACCATGGGGCAGCCACCAGTAACCTCTCTCTACTCTTCTGTTTTATATTGGCCCAGAGAAGGATGAAACCATTCAGCTGAACTTAGATATTGGAACATAAAGATGTGTAAAATTTCTGGTTGTTCTGAAGCTCTCTCCTTCCCCAAACACATACATCAGGAAGGTTTTAAGATAATAGAAAAGAGTTCTGGTGGTGAATTACACACAATGTTTACTTTGGGTTGCTGTGAATTTTCTGGGCTCCAAAAGCATTCTCTCCTGATGTTTTGCCCACATCTGTGGCAGGCATCCTCAGAGGTTGTTATGCTTCTGAAACATGGCCAGACAGCCTGGAAAAGTCACAGCAATCCAGTGATTCTGGCCAGGAAAGCCTTCAAAAACACATGTATTTTCTCTTATGAAAACAAAACCCGACTTTTGCTATTTGAGAAAAGGGGTAAGTGTGGCAAATTCAGTTTAAACACAAACTCCATCAACAATGTAGAAAACAAAGTTTCCTGAAACTGATTAAAACCTTTCTTAATCACAAGGCTAAGAGGGATAACTGTACAAACATCAGCCAGTGATGCCTCTTCCAAATGTTTCAAGATGACATTCACAGTAGTAATATCAGGTTAGCAAGAAAGAGAATTGTATTTGAGTTGTATCCAGTTCAATTGTAATCTGTTTTACACAGTTGTTACAAATATTTTCAGAAACTATGCTTGGGTGTAGCAAAGTGCAGCTACTACAACGGCTTGAACACTAAAATACATTGGGACAAATTCATAGCAGGAAAATTCTGCCTACTGGCTTCTCCTGTGAAGCCATCTGCTGGACAGTGGAAAGAAGGAACAGGACTTTCCACAAACTCTTGTTATCTTAGCATGTAGAACTATGGCCAAAAGACAAATTTTCATTCATTACACACACACACACACACAAATAATCACAATAAGAAGAGTAGGTTTAAAAACATGTGAACGATGCTTTACTTTTAGACATGTCTATGGAAAAATGCAATATTCTAATATGAAGAAAGGGTGAAACACAACAAAAATAATCAGCCAACCAACTAAGTCTCTTTGGGGAGATGGGGGGCTAGATAAAGTTTATTATTATTATTTAGCTCTCAAGAGGGACAGATATACATTTCACAACAGTTTATGTCTCTTATTAGATTTGAAAAGTTAATCAATGAGTCAATTGTTCAATTCTTGTGATCTATTTTGCCTAAAACGTCCATCTGGCCAAGCTTATCACACACTTTAATGGCTACCTAACAAAACACTACATCCCTGATTTTTGTCAAAAAGTTTTAAAACCCATCCAAGAAAGGCAGGGGGCTTCAACTGGTTTCATTAGTACACATTAGCATTCAATTCTACAAGAGAAGGACCATTTTGTAAGAACACTTCACAAGATTGCTAAGTTAACTGATCTGCAAAAAATGCATCAGGAACCTTTCCCCTACAATGAACATTTTCAATTTTGTCAGCATATTCCTCTCATTCTTTTATAAGTATGTTTTCAAGACATAATGGCAATTTAAGAAAAATAAAAGTATGGGCAGCCACTCTTGGCCATTGCTGTTTCTTTAACAAATTACTTTCTTATTTTTTTTGTGCTGGCATCTAAAATCTAGTATCTCCATCCAGATGACATCCTATATGATAAATAACTCTAAAATCTTCTGCTATGAGAACAAGATGGAAGACAATAATATTTCAGTATAAATGACTTTACTTAAGCCATCAGTTATTATGCATTTAAGTAAAATTCAATCTCGGAAAAAGGGTCAAGTGCCTTCTTTGCTCTTTGACACAAGACTTTTCAGGAACATTTACAGACCCTTTGATGTGGGAAGGAAGCATAACAAATGAACAAACTCTGTGAACAGCTATACATTTTTAATGAAAACTCGCCAAACACCCATTCTTTCTAGTTGGTCCAACACACCAATCTCCAATATGACCACATCCAAAAGAGTAACTATTTTCTTAAGAAATAAGCACCACCTCTTCCCCTGGAGCTCTTTATCCATTTGAAGGAGATGTGGTAGATCTTTCTTCATACAGCGTCTACACCGGCCGAGGGAATCCACATAGTCAACCCTAAAATGATAAACACAATCAGACTAATTTAGAAGAGAGAATCTTGTTTATATACTGGTATATGAAACCAAAAAATAAAATAAAATACTGTATGCAAAATTTGGGTTGCTGGAAGTTTTCCAGACTGTATGGTCATGTTCCAGAAGCATTCTCTCCTGACATTTCGCCCAAGCAGGGATAGACGTGGGTGAAATGTCAGGAGAGAATGCTTCTGGAACATGGCCCTACAGCCCGGAAAACTCACAGCAACCCAGTGATTCTGGCCATAAAAGTCTTTGACAACATTGTTTACACACGGTAATGTTAGTTATTCCATCCTAAATGCAGCAACAGGATCAAATATTTAGTCTGTTAAAACATTGTGTCCAATGTAACCATTTAACTTTGTTATAACTTGGATAGAGAACCAGTAAAGATCCGAAACAGCCCAGAACAATGTTTGATTTGTAAGCAAAAATAATATACCATTGACTTCCCACGCAAATATTAAATTGGTATAATATGTTTCAGTCAGGCTTTGACTCATTTGATTTCACAATTGTCCTGCTATATTAATGTAAGCTGAAAACAAATGCAAAAGGTTATTTTCAACAAAGTCATATTTCATGCTTCAACCAGAAACTACTCAAAATACAGATAAATTGCACTAAGTGCTCCTCATTAAAAGTGATAAAGTTTTCTTCATAATGAACTCCCAAAATTATTTTGCAGAAACATAGCTAAGTGTTGATGGACCCAGCATGCAATGCTACTTATTAACCATTGATTTATATTTCCATTTTTTAAACAAGAGTGTTAAAGACACAGAACTGGATGCTTGATTTCTCAAATAATATGTTTTTTCCAGGGGCACCTGCTGTTGGGTACATAATGCATGGATCTGATCAGATTTTCCTTATTGTTCTCAAAGATCTAAGCTCAAATTTCAGAGGTTTCTCAAAAGTTTTTATTCTTACAATTATTGACTGTACAAAATAGATGTGAATTGTTCATCAGTCTCAAATTACAGAGTTTTTAGATGTATGCTTTTACCACTCTGAAAAATCGTTTTTACAATGGACTTAACAACTTTGGACAAACCAGCAAAATATTGATTGTGGTTCTTGTGGGCTGTCAAAAGACTGTCATTAAGACAGACTGGGAAATTGTAGTGCTCATAGAAGTATGAGACTTTTTTTTTTACATGAACCGATCTAATGACATGGAAAACCTGAAATGCTCCGAAATCGCCCATGGGGGGGGGGGGGGAGGTGTGGCTGAAATAGAGACACCATTGCTTTCTGATGGTAAAATGGACACAAACCTTGTTTCATGCACAAAGCATTGCAAAAGAATTACCTTTCAAGCTATATGTACAAAGTATATATGAAAAAGAAATGAATTTTGTGTTTATGCTTGGGTCCAATCTGCAAGACATTCCATTATACACATGCAAGCATTCCAAAATCTGTAATGCAAAACACTTCTGGTCGCCATAATTTCAAATAAGGGATACCAGCTGGTACTATCAAACAGAATCACACCCAACTCGTGCAACATGGAAGCAGAAAAACTGAATTATCCTTAACATGGAAAAGCACATTCTGCAAGAAAAAAGGAAGCAATATGAGAGGATGCTTCCCGATAAGAAAGAGATTGTTAAAAAGCAACATTTTCTCATTAAAGAATGAATTCATGTGTATGCGAATGTACCACTGTTATTGTTAAAGTTATTCTACAAGATCACATAGAATAGGATTATCCTGCAGCAGTACCATTCTTCTGTGGGGTCCTGTGGAGGGGGAATCTCTGCCTCTGAGAGTCTCTCTTCCTCCTTCTCTGCAGCCTTCCTAGCAGCATCATTTGCACAGAGCTCTTGCACTTCCCGGTGTTTATCTATGATCTTCTGTGTGAAATCCACAAGGTATAAATCCTCCGCTTCTTCATCTACGACAGAAAATCAATTTCTAAATAACAGATAGTCAGAGTACCCAGCTGAGATAGGAGTCAATGTAAAATTGCAGCAATCAACACTACTGCTGCAAACAATGTCCTTGACTACTCTTCGTGACAATACACAGAAAATAATGCCACACAAGTAATCCTGGGGCATTTTTCAGCTTTAAACATAATTGTGGCTTTTGTTGTAAATGAAAAAAAAAAGATTTGTGAAAAGTCAGAAACTTCTTTTTCTTGCTGATACCTTACAAGTTGATGCTCTTCTCCAGCTTAACTGTAACAGTCAAACAGATATGCCGAGTCAGATCTAGATTTTACAAAAGTACAACTATGTCCAATAATTGTTTGTATCTCTTCCCTTTCTCTTTCTATGCAATGTTTGTTAAAGAAACACACCCAAGGCAACACTGTGGCTTTTCCTGCACTCAAGGTCTATCAAGTAGAGCTGGGGCAGGAAACTTAAAACATCATGATTCTTCATGCAGTAGATATTACAAGAAGAGGAATGGCAGTGGTGAGCGAATTGAGTTGAGTCCGTTGTTTTTAGTAGCAACCAGACTTCTCCTGTCACTAGGTTTTACCTCCTCCAGGAAAAGGAAGGCACTTGTTTTATAAAGCTATTTTATGTTGATGTGTCTCATATTTCGAATCAAATTTCATGGGGGGAATGATCCGTTTAGCATATGTTGTTATATGTCGTATTTTGAATTACAGTTCATGGAGGAAAAGCTTCAGGACTCAGTCATCATTATCTAATATTTTCTGAATTATTTTTTTCTTCTCCACTCTTCAGTATTTTCACAAAACCCTAATACTATTTGAATCACTATTGACTGGCGCACAACATGATGACTAAGAACATCTGCAACATGTGAAATCATGTTAGTCTGTTCTTTCTGCCTGCAGCATATTTAATGTACTGACATTCCTTTTAAAAATGAATTCAAGAGTTGAATACTGACAGTGCTGGAAAACAAAGAAAGATACTGAGAGGGATTTATCAGCATGCTGAGCCAAACCCCTAGTTATACAGACAGACTACACACTAAGAAGAAAAGAAACCCAAAAGAGCAAACTAACAGATGGGGGGAAAAACTGCCACGCTTAAACACTAAATAGCTGATGATATCCTGAGGGACAAAACAGTAGATGGAAAAAATAATCTGATTATTTAGAAAACTAAAATCAATTTATTCTAGAACAGTTTTAGAAACAGTATTTGTCCAGAAGTTCTTTTTCCAGAAAGGGAATAAAACCCCAATTTTTAAATTCTATTTCCTATACTGGCAATCAGTTTTCAAGCTGTTGGAAAATGTAATTTGAGAGTATGTTGAAAAGGTTAACGCTTATGTAATCAGTGTGTTCGTTCATGTTAAGTCATGGCCTAACTGATCTAGTACAAGTGGATCACTGTGGATAGTAGTTCTCAACCTGCAGTTTCCCAGATGTTTTGGCCTTCAACTCACAGAAATCCTAACAGCTGGTAAAGTGGCTGTTGTAGGCCAAAAACACCTGGGGACCCACATGTTGAGAACCACTGACTTAGGGCATAAAGTGACAAGAAAGAATGCCAAGTAAAACTGCATCATGTGCCTTCAACAAGCTGAAGGTGCTGAAGAATTTGTTCTGGGCTTTTAAAATAAATGCAGGAATACATCAACTGTGTTACATAAACAGAAACATATCTCTTTGTGTGGATACTGAAAGCAGCGGTTTAAGCAGGTAAAAACCAGAACAATGAGCTTTTACGGGTTCTCTTAGAATTACTCGGAGAACCTAACCTAATACATTTTTGTGCTATAGATCAAAACTGAGAATTTATGTAGTGTTATTACCAAATGTTCACATTCTTTCATATGCATTTTTGCAATACTTTTTTCAGTAATTCTGCAAACTAATCACACATTACCCCAAAATCACAACTCAGAGGATGAAATATGACCACCCAATAAATTTCTAACTGCCAGGATTTGTTTTAGGGGATTTATTTTTACTGTACTGTACCTTCTCACCCTGAAGGGGACTCAGAGCAGCCTTACAACTCAGAGTGGCCTTACATTCTATGACTGTATGACATTCTATGATTCTATGACTGTAGCTCATGCTGTTAACTGCCGAGCTGCCTCTGTTTATTAAAATTGAAACAGACATGGGGGCATTCTATCAAGATAGTTCTTGCAAGGACACCTGATTCACTATTGAGGAAGAGATATAAGCTTCCTCTTCATTCACTGCATCCACCTTCTATTAAAAATACTGATCTAAACCTGGAGTTCAAATTGAATGCTAGAACAGTCAAAATAACTACAAAATAACTATATTTTGCCAAAGTACATAATATTTATTGCAATGCAGCTTTCATTTTGTAAAAAGCCTATCAATTTCCTAAGAAAATATACTCTCTAAACTGAAATGATCTTAAGATCTTTCAGAGTAGTAGTGGTAGTCAGATTACATACTGTCAAACTATCCAAAAAAAACAAGTTTACTCTGAGATAAGACCTACCTCCTGCAATGAGCCATCCTTCCTAGTAGAAATATTTAGTGTTAAAAGTCTTTGATTCTGAAAGAGTAAACACCATTTCTCCAGAGCAACAGTTTATTTACCTGGAAAGTCTCCTTTTGTCATCTTTTCATACAGCAGTGCTTTTTCTTCTAGTTTCTGTCTAAAAAGACAATCATATTAACTTCAGCTCACAATTACACAGCATCAAACCTTCTGGAATCAGAGGAGAAAACAACTTGCTTCTAGGATTGTTACCTGCAAATTAGCAGGATTTCTGATTATGAGGCATAACACGACTCTCGGAGAATATGAGTTTCACAGGTGGATCTCTGATGTTGTTTTTGTGGCCAAAACAGGCTTCACATAAAAACTTTAATTGAATCAGTTCCACATACATCTTTGAACATCACACAGGCAAATCAGATGGAGGGAGCTTTGTACAACAAACCCCACATTTACTGGGTTTGGGGACACAGGACCCTCACAGAAGTGAACAGCCACTGATTCAGAAAATTACACTGGACAGACTGCATCTGCTCTAGTTTCTTACATATGGTTACTAGGTTTTTCTATGGGTGAGAAGATGGTGGCTGATTTTGACATATATTCTACATCTCAAAAACTAGAGTTGATAGGGGGAAACTGGTGCCGTTTTTGGAATCCACAGGTCAAGAATACCCTGAAACAGACCTATCATTTGAGGCCAGTGTAATCAAATACACAAAAGTCAAACCCACAACTATGGAGGGTCAACTGCATATGATTTTTAAGGAACTCCGTAACAACTAATCGAACCCTTGGAGCATTATCTAACTAGGACTGCTGATCAATCTCTTTTAGAAGAAATAGAAGGGGCTTCAGTAGAAAGCATTATTTCCTCTCCTATCTATATAGTACACGTCTTCATTACTGCCACTCGTCTCCTTTGCCTGTCAATGATACCATTCCTTTTACTCAACTTGCTGGTGCTTCTGAAGCCCTGTGTGCCTCTTAATGACTTTACAAAAAGAAAAGCAAGAGAGAAGAGGGGCTTTAGTGACTTTAGTTCATAAAGACTAAAATAAACCTTTCACAACGATGTTGCTGTATAATCATTTCAGGTGGAGAATACTCATTTTTACCAACTCTATTTTACAGAGTGAAGAATTAAGGATCCCATTAATAATTAAGAATTAATTAAAAATTAAGGCTCCCATTAATTAAGGCACAGCAAATCCCAATAACCCTGGTGAGGACATTTGAGTGAATACCATTCTCACCCTGTATAGCACAATAGACAGTTCTTTATTCCAAAGTAAAAAAAAAAAATTGGTCGTGTCAGGAGCGACTTGAGAAACTGCAAGTCGCTTCTGGTGTGAGAGAATTGTCTGTCTGCAAGGACATTGCCTAGGGGACGCCCAGATGTTTTGATGTTTTACCATCCTTGTGGGAGGCTTCTCTCGTGTCCCCGCATGAGGAGCTGGAGCTGATAGAGGGAGCTCGTCCACGCTCTGCCTGGATTCGAACCTGCGACCTGTCAGTCTTCAGTCCTGCCGGCACAAGGGTTTAACCCACTGTGCCACCAGAAGCTCCTTCCAAAGTAATGAATCAAGTAAATGCCTGTGTTTGAAGTTTCATCTCCAAGTCCAATTAGTCAAGCAAACTACGCTTTTAGAAGTTGACATCAACTGTTACCATAACAGTCCTTGTACTACTACTTCTGCTACATTGTATTAATCATTATTTACAGTCATATGTAGTCAAAATTTGGTAGTATAAAAATTCAAACCAATTCTAGAAACAGGAACCAAAGAAACCGAGTACAAATCATACTACATTAGCTCTGAAGGACATGATATTATGTTGGATTAATTTTTAGCCATACCAATTAAATCTGAAATTTGCCCATCTCAGAACCCAAGATATACCTTGATTTATCCAATGTTTGTTGCTCTTCTATCTTCTGCTCAGCATCTTTCTCAGCTCGGTCTGAAACACCTTTGTTCTGCTTAGTCCAAATATTTGGTTTCTAAAGAATCAAGTTTCAAAGCAAAGGACAAACCCAAGATTTAGCTTCAGTTAGGTATCAAAAAATAACTGCAGCACATTTACTAGAGCCATCTAGCGAATATCTTGCTTCCGGTAATATCCAGTCATAGATATTTCTAAACATGGATATGCAGTTTGATCACCAGGATGCATGCAGCTCACTAAAGCTCTTCTCCACTTCCAAAGGAAAAGCTCTGCCAACCGCCTGCAAGTGCCCTGAATAACTACAATACCTTGGAATTGTGGAGGAACAAGAGTCTATAGCAAGATATTCAAGAAGCCTTTAAGAAAGTATATTGCATTTACTGTCAATGTCTTCTTCAGTTTTACATTCTTTCTTTTTAAATATGACAATCTTTACCATGTTTAGTATTAATTCTTATTTATATGTAAAAGCAAAGTCAAACTTTTTCTCACTAATATGTATGGAATAATTATCTTTTATGATATTAAAATGTGATTTTACGTAACTAAGAGATTTTTAAATCATTACGGCTACATCCTTCAGAAAAGCAATTAGAAATGAGTGAACCTTGCTTTTGAGAAAGCATCTTTAAAGATTATAACACATGAATATTACATCTGAGAAAATTTCAAACCACAGCAGCTGTCATTTAAGCATAAAGCACCTGTTGGCAAATTAACATGTACCAATAAGAAAATTTCAGGTTTCATTTTTAGCTCAGTGGACCTGAAACTGACATAGGTAAAGGTAAAGGTAGTCCCCTGACATTAAGTCCAGTCATGTCTGACTCTGGGGTGTGGTGCTCATCTCCATTTCTAAGCCGAAGAGCCAGCGTTGTCCGTAGACACCTCCAAGGTCATGTGGCCGGCATGACTGCATGGAGCGCCGTTACCTTCCCGCCGGAGCGATACCTATTGATCTACTCACATTTGCATGTTTTCGAACTGCTAGGTTTGCAGAAGCTAGGGCTGACAGCGGAAGCTCACGCCGCTCCCCGGAATCGAACCTGCGACCTTTCAATCAACAAGCTCAGCAGCTCAGTGCTTTAACCCACTGCGCCACCAGGGGCCCCGAAACTGACGTAGCTGTTTAATATTTCTGACAGATATTCAAGAAGGAAGTTTATCATGTGTCAGAATGCAATTTTGTTGATCATAGGTTGCTATTCTACAATCACTTACTAATGAACCACATACAGTCACAGAATCAGGTTGTATATAAATGCCTACTTTGCTAGTTGATTTGGATTTTACAGGGGCCCCAGCATCTTTCAGAAGTTTTTCTTTTTTGAATTCTTCCTGTTTCCGGTAAAGTTCAGCCTTCAAATCTACCAGCTGAAATAGAAGCAGCAAAAAAGAACAAGACAAATCACAAATAATGCACTTTTGGAGAATACAAGTTTAGAGAAACCCACAACAGTAGAACTACTAACCTTTAAAAATGTAAAATCTTGTTGAATGGCCAGCACACAAACACATATGTACGCATGATATAACTTGATCTTACTTGAAATTTAAGTAATAAAAGAATTAATGTAAGGGAACAATGGGATTATATATAACCAAGAATATAATAAAATAATGACCAAATATATGACCTGAGTCTAGATTGCCACTGATAAATCCAGGTTATGTATCCCTGATCCAATATGTTTAGAACAAGAACTGTTTTGAAATTTGGAAAAAATGGTATTTAGATTTCAATATTATTGTCAAAAATACTGTACATAGTATGTTTTCACACAGGATTGGTGCTACATTAGAACAATAAAGACAAGTATCACTTAAAGTAAAAGAAACATTAAAAATTAATCAACCAAAAAAGGCGTAGACACTAAACGAATCTGGGAATCTGCTATTGCAACACAGCCTTTGCATATGCATAGTCAATGGGGGATTGCGCCCCCCCCCTCCCAATCTCCCTAGTGGAAATCAAGCCCTCATCCAACAGCTGATGTATTTTTCTTCTGTTTGGCTCTTTTCCTTCCTTTCTGGATAAGAGGAATACATTCAAAATATCAGAATGTGTGCTATCAGATGGGGAAGTATCTGGAATGTCTGCTTTTTAGAAGGGCCTTAGGTGAACAGACACACAGGATCTGGGGTTTTCCTTCCCAACTCTCCCCGCTGCCCCCCCCCCCCACTCAAATTTCTGACTGTGGTGGTGAAAGCAATTTGAGGAAAAACTCAACTAGTGCTGGGCCCTTTCCCAAAAGGCGGAAGTGGGTTGCTGGAGGTAAAAAGTCTCCGTTTTTGGGTTTCCAGATAAGGGAGGTTAGTGTTATTATTATATTTATATGTCACTTTTTCTCTCTTATGAGGACTCAAAACAGCAAAGAACCATACAATATACATCTTAAAACCTATAAATACTAAAAACAAACTCAGTTATCTAAAAACAAATAATTAAAACCATTAAAGTCTATTTTTTAAAAACATCACACAACAGACCTATAAACTCTCTTCTTCAGAAGCTTGCCTGAATACAAAGGTTGAATCGTTTTCATTTTCAAACAAGAAGATAGCCATTTTGGGGGAAACAAACTTAATGTGTAACATTTTCCATTTAAAGAGTAGTTACCAAAGTTTGACGAAGGTGACTGACAAAAATACCTCTATGCTAAACCAGTGTTCCAGCCCCTCCTACCGTTTAATCTGTCACATGAGAAAAAGACTTCTCTTAGAGTGCATCCATACTTGTAGAACTGATGCAGTTTGACATCATTTTAACTGCCATGGTTAAATGCTATGGAATCCTGACAGTTGTCATCTTCCAAAGTCTTTAGCCTTCTATGTCAAAGAGTGCTGGAGCCTCACAAAGCTTCAAATCCCAGTATTCCACAGTAAGGAGCCAAAGCAATATCAAATGACATTAATTCTACAATGTAGAAGCACCCATAGAGGCATTTTGGTTTGAGCCTTAGACCGGGACTTTGGAAGAACAGTGTTTGAACTTCTGCTCAGCCCTGGAAATCTTCTACCAGCCTTAGAGGAAGGCAATGGCTAACTTCCTCAGAATAAATCTTTCTGGGAAAATCCCATGAGTTACCACAAGGCAGAAAAGACAACAGCAACACAATCCTGACAGCATCATTTTAAAATATCCTCACTTGTGTATGTGTGTACACACACTACAAAAGGATAATTAATGCTAAAGTAACTGCAAAAAGAGAATGGGAGATAACGGTGAGGCTCACTTCATCTGAAGTGTGCTAATTTCTGAGACGCAGGCCTGCTTCTCACTATGACTAAAGGCCCTATCATATCATAGTGCTGTTATTCTACATCAGGGGTCCTCAAACTAAGGCCTGGGGGCCAGATACAGCCCTCCAAGGTCATTTACCCAGCCCTCACTCAGGGTCAACCTAAGTCTGAAACTACTTAAAAGTAAACAACAACAACAATCCTATCTCATCAGCCAAAAGCAGGCGCACACTTCCCATTGAAATACAAATAAATTTATATTTGTTAAAATTGTTCTTCATTTTAAGTGTTGTATTGTTTTAAAGTGTTTTTTGCACTACAAATAAGATATGTGCAGTATGCATAGGAATTCATTCATATTTTTTCAAATTATAATCTGGCCTTCCAACAGTTTGAGGGACTGTGACCTGGCCCTCTGTTTAAAAAGTTTGAGGACCCCTGTTCTACATTAACTGACAAGGCAACATCCTGCTGCATCCTGGGCTTTCTTAATTTAGTGAGGCCAATCTCTCTTGAGATAAGAATTGTAAATAGCCCTTACATCAGTGGTTCTCAAGCTGTGGGACCCCAGATGTTTTGGCCTTCAACTCCCATAAATCCTAACAGCTGGTAAACTGGCTGGGATTTCTGAGGGTTGTAGGCCAAAACACCTAGGAACCCACAGCTTGAGAACCACTGCCTTACATCCTCCATAGGATGTTGCCACAGCAGTTGAAGTGAAATAACAACACTATAAAGAGCAGGCATAGACAAACTTTGGCCCTCCAGGTGTTTTGGATTTCACCTCCCACAATTCCTAATAGGCTGTTAGGAATTGTGGGAGTTGAAATCCAAAACACATTTATTTTATTTACAGTATTTATATTCCGCCCTTCTCACCCTGCAGGGGACTCAGGGCGGATTACAGTGTACACATATATGGCAGACATTCAATGCCAATTTGACATACAACGTATACAGACATACACAAAGGCTATTTAACTTTTTCTGGCCACCAGGGGAGCTGTCGCTTTCATCGTCCATCTGCCACACTGATGAAGTACTTCCGCATTCCCCGCATGCTTTTGCTGGAGTCTTTTTTATGGCCTCATAAATTAGTTAATTTAGCCTCCCCACACAAGGTGGTACCTAATTTTCCTACTTAATAGATGCAACTGTTTTTCGGGTTGCAAAGGTCAACAACAGGCTACACAATTGGTTAGAAGCCCACTCCAACCCGGGCTGGCTTTGAACTCATGACCTTTTGGTCAGAGTGATCTTAACGCAGCTGACACTCTGCCAGCTGCGCTACAATCCTGTGCGGGAGGGCCGAAGTTTGCTCATGCCTGATAAAGTCATAGTGCGATAGGCCCTTAGTAAGTTCTTGCTGGACTGAATGAACATGCCCAGTATTGGTCTACATTTACAGCAGGTGCATCCACGCTGTGGAATTAAAGCAGTTTGACACCAGTGGGTTGTTGTAGGTTTTTTCGGGCTATATGGCCATGTTCTAGAGGCATTCTCTCCTGACGTTTCGCCTGCATCTATGGCAAGCACCCTCAGAGGTAGTCCTCACTATTATTATTATTATTAACTTTATTTGTACCCCGCTAGCATCTCCCAAAGGACTCGATGCAGCTTACAAAGGCCATGGCCTCAAAACACAACATAACAATACAACACCTAAAGCAAATTAAAAACAATTAAAGCAATATTAAACAACAAGCAATAAACAATACATCAAGACACTATAAAACTGGGCCGGGCCAGAGTAATGGGTACAGGATTAAAAGTGCTGATGTGACAGGTGGTATATAAGGCTTATAGGGCAAGTGCAGTGTGCAGTGTGCAGCAATCTTAGTTCTAATAAAGTGCTTCTGGGACTTGTTATTGGAGTTTCCTATTCTGGAAAGGCACATCGGAACAGCCAGGTCTTCAAGTTCTTTCTAAAGACTGCCAATGTAGGGGCCTGTCTAAGATCTTTGGGGAGGGTGTCCCAGAGTTGGGGGGCCACCACAGAAAAGGCCCTGTCTCGCGTCCCCACCAAACGGGCCTGCGACACAGGCGGGATCACGAGCAGGGCCTCTCCGGATGAACGAAGTGAATGCGTGGGTTCGTAGACGGAGATGCGGTCATGCAGGTAGGATGGTCCCAAACCTTTTAGGGCTTTGTAGGTAAGCACCTGCACCTTAAATTGGGCTCGGAAAATAAACGGCAGACAGTGGAGCTCCTTGAACAGGAGGGTTGACCTCTCTCTGTAAGGAGCCCCAGTTAACATTCTGGCTGCTGCCCGTTGGACCAGTTGGAGTTTCCGAGCCGTTTTCAAGGGCAGCCCCACGTAGAGCACATTACAGTACCTCTGAGGATGCTTGCCATAGATGCAGGCGAAATGTCAGGAGAGAATGCCTCTAGAACATGGCCATATAGCCCGAAAAAACCTACAACAACCCAGTGATTCCGGCCATGAAAGACTTCGACAATAGTTTGACACCACTTTAGCCCCCATGACTCAACGCTTTGGAAGAATGGGAAGTGTAGCTTCACAAGGCCTTTAGCCTTCCCTGCCAGTGCCGAAAGGTAAACAATGCGAGGAGATGCGAGTGAGCATGCGCAGAGCGCCGCTTCCTTCGCAGGCTTCTCTGCCTTTCCTTTCCTTACCGAAGCGACGGTCACGTCCAGAGGCTTCTTTTTGCGGTCCATCGGGCCAAAGTCGCACAAGTCACTGGCGAACGATAACAACTAACTACTCCACAGCACTTCCGGCCATAAAGTAAACCCCTCTTCCGGTTACGGCACCGGTCCAGGGCCCGCGTGTTTGCGACAATGCCGTAACGCAACTGGGAGGTACGGGAGGGGCGACGTAAAAAGAGGAGCCAGACTGTTCATTTGTTGGAAAGAGAGACTCAGAGCGCCTCTGAGGGTGGATTCACACTGTGACGTCAATATAACTGGTTGTGGTGGAATCACAGGTGTTGTAGGTTTACAAGGTCTCTAGGCTTCCTTGCTAAAGAGTGCTGCTGTTACACAGCTGGGCTTCAGCTATCAAAACAGGTTAACATGTAGAATAATCACAGGATGTCTCAAACCTGCATCTGATGGTAGACTTTATATGGGGCCTGGGCCAGCTTGGGCCCTCCAGGTGTTTTGGACTCCAACACCCATCATTCCTAACAGCTTCAGGCCCTTTCCTTTTCCCCCTCAGCTGCTTAAGGAATGATGGGTGTTGGAGTCCAAAACACCTGGAGAGCCCAACTGGCCCAGGCCCCTTATAAAGTATCAACAGGTGGACGTCAGGTGGTGCAATACCAGCTAAACAGTGTAATTTCTCCAATAGTGTTGAGTGCAGACAGCCTTAATAATGCGGCATGTCTCATTAAGAGTTTTAGCGTGGTGAGATTTGTTCCACACTGGGCATGCGTACTCAGCAGCAGAGTAGCAAAGCGCAAGGGCAGATGCCTTCACTGTGCCTGGTTGTGATCCCCAGGTTGTGCCAGTCAGCTTTCGTATGATATTGTTTCTAGTGCCCACTTTTTGCTTGATATTCAAGCAGTGCTTCTTGTAGGTCTGAACAACAACAACAACAATAATAATGTGCAACACGATTTTGTTCCTGGGTTATAAATGTAATTTCCTGATTGGTTCTGTCATAAAACATGGAAAAACTTTGTTTTTGCAGAACATCCTGCAGCACATTTTGCAGTCGTTTTTCAGTGAATATCTCATAGAGTCTCAATCAATTCAGCATAGTTTGTAGCAGCCACAAAAACAATAAAGTGAATAATTATATGTGTATTCGGGTCATTTCACTACACAAGATTATCACTATTCTTAGACATTCATAGATAATAATAGAAGACCGACAGGTCGCAGGTTCGAATCCGGTGAGAGGCAGATGAGCTCCCTCTATCAGCTCCAGCTCCTCATGCGGGGACATGAGAGAAGCCTCCCACAAGGATAATACATCAAAAATCATCCAGGCATCCCCTGGGCAATGTCCTTGCAGACAACCAATTATCTCACACCAGAAGCGACTTGCGGTTTCTCAGGTCACCCCTGACACGACAAAAAAGAAAAAGATAATCGTGTTCCTTTCACATCTGAAATTATGACAGTACCCATTGCTAGAGTGCTAGAATCTTTATATGCTTATGCAATGTTCAGTATTAATGCTTTCAGTGATTACTTTAAGTTAGTGTGTGAGGCCATAACCCAGCATCAGACCCCTAACACTATGTAACATTAATTTTTTCCTGGTTTATAAATTTAATTTCCTACTTGGTTCTATCATAAAACCATGGACAAAGTTTATTGAACTGCAGGATGTCTTTGTTTTTGCCAGACATTCTTCAACACATTGTGGGAAGTCATTAGAGATTTGAGTTCAGGTGGTATCAGTATGAGGATGATACTCAATTCTATTTCTCTTACGCAAATCTCAGTTTTACCAGTTCCTTCGTCTGAAATATTATCTCTACAGTATGTGGTATTCATTGATAGTCTCTCATCCAAATACTAATCGGAGATGATCCTGTTTAGCATTCAAGATCAGATGGGATCTGGTGCCTTCATATTAGACCAGGGGTCCTCAAACTTTTAAAGCAGAGTGTGGGCTGCTTTTGGCTAATGATATAGTCAAGTTAATTAGGGTTGTTGTTGTGGCCTTCAAGTCATTTCAGACTTAGGGTGATTTTAAGTCTAAAGTTTAAGGCAGTGGTCGGGTAAATGACCTTGGAAGGCTGCATCCACACCTGAATTTGGAGACCCCTGTAGTAGACTGTCTCTTCTCATATGAGTAGTCTGAAATTTGAGATCCCTGATGATGGGTACATGCCACAGGTCTTTTTCTGTAACAGCACACTGACTGTGGAGCTCCCAAGGAAAATGAGGCCAGCTCCACCACTTTTGAGTTTCCAGCAGGTAGATAAAACTATGTTGTCTCACCTGGTCTTCTTTTAAACCAGGTGAAGCTGCTTTGGCTGTTTTAACTGTCAAAGCTTTTGAAACAATTTATTTGCATTAATCCAATTTGTTTTAAAATGTCTTCAATCATATATTTAACATATTAGATCATTTTATTCACTGTCCATTGCCTTGAGGGTCCTGCTGGGCTAGAAAGCTTTGAATAGGACGGATGGGTGGATATATCATTGTGTTAATGGCTGTTAATGTGTTTAATCATAATGCACTAATTCAGACATGACTTTTCTGTCTAGAATCTCAGATTGTCCAATTCAGAATGTGCCTTGCATGATTGATGTGGTTTCAAGAGAATTTAGAAATTTAGCTGCTTATTCTCAGTGCTATTCATAATCTGACTTACTAGCAAACAGCATGTAGCAGAGCAGTATTTGTATCTTGGCTGTCGCAAAACATCTGCTGAGTTATTGGGCAAAACTTGAGATCTGGAGTCAATATTTTTTTAAAAAGGGGAGAAGATTTGAAATTTTCTATATGTTGTTGGGCTACATCTCCCACCACTTCTCAATATTTGATTGTGCATGCTAAGGAGGTAAGGATTTCAGTCCAACAATGTCTAGAGCCTGGAAAACTCACAGCAACCCAATGTCTAAAGAGCTCCCTCTAATTGCAAGACAATACTGACAAATACAGTAAGCTTTGACGTTTTGTTGGTTTTGACTATAGATTACTTTGTGTTTACACTTACTCATTACTTAAAAATTGTGATAAGAGGCATTTCTAACAGGTATTGATAAATAGAGGTAGTATGTAATTAAGACACTGAGTGCCTTGAACAAATGTTACCTCTTCCATCAACTCCCCCCTATATTATGGTGATTTTAACTTCAATGCTGGCTGATGTGTGTGTGCCTTTTTGAAGGAAAGTTCCAAAGACTGTTTCGTGTGACTGGAATTAATGACATAATATATCTTGTTACTTTATATCTAATTTGGTTGGAAACCCACAGCTGCTCAGATTCACCCTTCCATCCTTTCAAAAATGTATGAGTAATTCTAATAAAGGGGAAAAGAGCCTTCGTTTGACACCTTTGAAATATGGTGTGCAACCAGTCAGTCAGTTTTACACTGTGATATTACATAATTGATGGGCTCAAGCCACGAGGATAACCTTTTTCTGCCATTCCCTCCTCCAATTAGTAGGGAAAAGACCAACAGGCAATAATGAATACCTATGTCATTGATGAGCAAGCAGGGAAGTATGGAAATCAGTCTCGCCCTCCTTGGTCTGTGATTCACTGCTCTAAGGAGTACGCTGTGACAGACAGTTTCAAAGACTTGCCCTGAATATCACTTCAGTGCTTTCATCCTTATTGTCTTAAGAAGTGACAAGCACTTTACATACAATTTCATCAAGGAGAGCTGATCCTAACACAAGTACTGGAGGTGTTCTTAAGCTTTTTAAAAACCCTAGGCAATTGATCAAAGTCTTTTTTGCCATCCAAGGAATGAAATTTTGGAACATGTTGATGACTGGAGCCAGAAGTGCTTTCACATTGATGTACCCATTTCTGCATCAGCAACTGTTCAAAGGGAGGGAACAAGAAAATTCAAGTTTGGTGCCCGATGGTGTCTTCATCTCTGTTAATCAAAAGGTCTGAATGCTCTGACCCAAGGAGTCCCAGTTTCACTATGCAGTACAGTCTCTGCATCCATGGGGAATACATTCCTGGACTATACAAGAGTACAGATAATGGTGAAACTTACTGAAATGAAGGGCTTTAGTGGAAGAATACAACAGCGTTGCATTGGAGGACTCAGAAAATGCCTAGAGAGGACATTTTGTTGGATGTGGATAAATGAAACTATGAATCTGGACCCACAAATTCAGGGGTTGCACTGTATTTATGGCATCAGAAGTGCAATGGGCCTTAACCTCCTTCTATGGTATTATTGATACAAATCAGTGGGTGTTCAACCTATAAATTTCATCCAGACTGAGTCCAACCATGGATCTGTGCCACCATTGTGCCATCATCACTGATTAGCAGTGTGAATCTGCGTTGGTAGCCAATCCGAATACATCACAGTGGCTACTTCAGTGGCATACTCCTGGTAGTGGACATGATCTGATTCCTTGTGGGTTCAAGTGGAGTCAATGGGTGGTCCCTTGCCATCAATGTTCCCACCCCAATTTCATATTATCCTTTCAAAGTAAATAAGTTCATTGGGATTTGTTTCTGAGCAAACACGTGAAAGTTTGCACTGTGCACAAAACGTAATCAGATGAACTTCTGTAATTGGAAAAGGAGAAGAATAACAATAGCGTTATTGCTTTTTCATATTCAATGCAGCTCTCTTTGGTTCTGTGTAGTATTTATTATTAAAGATTTGTGGATGCTAAGCAAACCAATGTTTCTAATTTAAGGTTGCTGATAACTATGAACCACCTTGAAATAATTAATTCAGTACTTCACGCCAGAATGCTCTTTGTTTTAGCATACTTTAGGTCTATCCAGGAAACAAAACAAGCAGTGCATTGTTTTCTGGAATGCATGAAAAGAAATTTAATTTAGAAAATTGTTAACAAGATGTAGATATATTTAATTTAGAAGACAAATGTAAGATAAACTATCAGAAGCATATCAGCATTTTCAAGATGAGATATGTGGAAAACCGGAACCCTTCCATAACCTCCAAGTTGAAGTGGGTGGAGGAAGCACAAGCTGAAAAAAGTAATTTTAGCAAGGTATGATTTGATGGACCGAGGGGATGCTATTTTGAGAACAATACTTGTCATAGCATCTCTTTTAAAACGTGTAAATAGGGAACCTCTTTCTTACATCAGTACTGCTAA